AATAAATAAACGTCTCAAATGTATCCTAAAAGCCCAAAAGGACGAGAACCTTCGTGCCAATGATGTAAATCACTTATTGGCATAGTTAAACCTAGCTAGAGAACCCTGTAAATCACAGGAAGCATGCAGCTAACTGCACAGAAACAACAGTAAATTGTGTTATATTCTGTAATTGGAGCAAAGCAAAGTTCACATACAAAGATGAAGCAGAAAGAAAAAAAAAGAGGACATTGTTTTGGGGGAAGCCAAACAGGCAACATCAGTGGGTTCATTAGCTCATTAACTAATTAGCTTTCAAGCTATCTCTACAACCGCTTGCGATCTGTTTACATTTGTGTAACTCCTCACACATGTACCATTAGTTTAGTTATTTGATTTTATATGCATCGGGTGCTTTTCAAAATTTTCCGATTAAGGAAGGTTCTTATATCAAAACCCAGTTCAATAACTACAAAATTCATGATTCATTTAAGAATCTGTTAAAAACTTGATATGAATTGCTTTTATATTTTCTGATTCATTCTTAAACACCTTTTTAAGGCATAAATTAGGCTCTGACTCTCCACCCTTTGAAGATAAACACATTGTAAAGTTGTTTCAGATTCTTATGAACCAACCAAGGCTGCAGTGAGTTCGGTCTCTAATTGTGCTAATTCTCCACCGCATGGCACCATTTTCCTTTCAAAACCCCCTAAAAACAAAGACAGCATAAATTGTTTCAGTCACGACTTCAAGATTTTAATCTTGTTAGGAGAATCCATTTGTCATCTTACCTCTTTGTGATCTAATTTAGGCATTAATTGCATTTTTAAAAACACGTTAATACGATTTCAAGTTTCTAGAAGCACTGATGTAATTAAGTAAGAGTAATAGAATCAAAAGCAATTTTTGCTTTAGGTTTTATTTTTCTAAGTTCTGGACAGCCTGTCGTTAAAAGGCATATAATCTCCTAAAATATTTTGTCATCAGTGTAGAGATTTAGTGACATTATTTCTTCTTCTACTTATCTGAGGTAAGACATCCAGAGAACCCTCTCCCTATTTACTCTGGTCGGCTCATTCTCTTGGTATCCTAAACCAAAATAAATATAGAATCCCCCCAAAAGGTTCCCGGTCTGCCCTGGTTACTCCTCCCAGCATAGTGTGCATAAAAAAATCATCAATGATCCACTCGGGTAGCGTCCTAATCCGATACCCAGCGTCATCCGTCGGATCTGGCAACCAGCAGCACTACTTAGAGATATACAGTTTTAACCCTATCACAAAAGGCTTTGAATTGATTAAAAGCATAAAGTTTTTTTCAGTTAAAGATGCCTAAATCCATAATGAGATATTGGTGTTCACGTCAAAGTCAAGTCATCAAATGCGTGCCTGGAGACATCAAGCCAAAATACATGTGAGCCGTGATGTTCAGCTCATGGAAACGGACAACAAGAACCAGAAGGAGGTACCTGATAAGCTATGTCCTGTTGGCATGGACTGTTCATCCTGTCAGTCAGTCAGGCTTTGAGATGCTAAAGGTATTGTTTAGTCAAGTTATTTGACATCTTTTACATTTATATGCCAGCAACTCACTCTGATTTTATAAAACGTTTGTATGATTAATTATGGCATCCTGTTGCCGTAGCATTTGTTATTTTTGGTCATTTAAGCTTTAGTTTTGCTCAATTTGTTAGTAAATATAGCCTTTCTGTGTATATTTTCCATATGATAGGCTCTATGGGGAGTAGCGGCCTAGTTGTTAGGGCATAGAGCCTGAAATCCTGAGGTTCTGAGTTCAAGCCCCACTCCCACAGACAAAGTTGCAATGCTTTTAAAACATATTCTGATGGAGTTAGGATTAACTAGGAACAACATTTTGTTTACAATAATTATCTTAAATGTCTGTGTTGTTAATCAAGAGTAAATCAGCCATGTTAATCATTTGTTAAGTAAAATTTCCCCGCAAATAACTGACTTTGCTGCACTCAAAGTTCATGTGATATTTCTACTACTCTATGAGAAATCACTGGAACTGGAAACAGGAGTAGGTTTCAGCTGTTGGTTTTCAGTATTGCAGCTCAGCTAGGACCTATTTAGTATCTGCATCAATGGGCACCATCTGGCTTTATGGTAGTTCAGTGGTACTGCCAGTAGATGACACAGCACCTGTTTATGTCAGCTAATTGCACCCACTGCTGAGGTTCTATTTAGGCTCAAAAAGGACGATCAAAACACTATCAGGGCGGACGCTCGGAGTAAAGAGCCTTATTTCATCATAATCATCAATGGATGTTGTTTTTAAGTTTCGGGTTAGGCATATAGCAGGACTATGTACCTTTTAAACATTTTCCATTTTGATAGTAATTGAACCTTTATTGAGCTCACATTGGAGAAATTTACCTCTGCAATTAACCCATCCCCTTGGGTAGCATTGAGCTGCCATCATGGGGCACCCAGGGAGAAAATGGGAATTAAGGGTCTTGCTCAGAGACCCAGAGTGGCAGTCTGTGGGAAAGGGTTTTGAACTCACAACCTCGGGGGGGGGGGGCGCTATTTGATAAGAAATTCAGTTTAAAGATGAGACCCTCACCGACCAACAGCATTCAATGCAGGATGATAATAATTCTTCCCGCAGTCTGATGCTGAGATGTCAGGCAGAATCAAACAGAGCACTTGTTGACCTAGCCATGACACAACTCAAGGGCCACCAGGGAGTGCCTTAATAAGTATTCCTAAACAGGAGGATTAGCCAGATGGTCAGATCACTCTTTTCTCCAGCCTCTTCCATCTGTAGATTTCCATATTTTCTTCCCGACCCTGCCTAAACCATCGTGATTGGCTTAATTTAGGCTAGTGTTACCTACAACACTATTTGACTACAGATATAATCTTTATTGCTTACGGAGAGAAAGTCCATTAAAAGGCAAACTGTAGGGTCCCAGTTCTGAAAGGTTCCTGGAGTGATGCCTGTGAGAGTCTTTAAAAAAAAGACCCCTTTCTTTGCTAGAGTGAAAGCCACCATTGAAGGCGCACAGAGGATAACACTACTAAAAGTGGGGTTCTGCATTCACTGCGAGACAAATCAAAAGCATTCAGAATGTGACGACGGGGGTAGGAAAAAAAAGCAGATGACATGCACAAGGTCTGGTAAAGTTTTGTATATGGAAAAAATAAACATGATAATCCCTTCGGTTTATTTTTTAAACTAACTCTAAACTTAATCATTACTACAACTTTATCACTTTATTTGGATTTATAGTTATACATATGCATATATATACATATATATATAAAATAATTATATGTGTATATATTTATATTATCTAGTGTGGTTTGTTGTATATATATATATACACTATATTGCCAAAAGTATTTGCTCACCTGCCTTGACTCACATATGAGCTTAAGTGACATCCCGTTCCTAATCCATAGGGTTCAATATGACGTCGGTCCACCCTTTGCAGCTAGAACAGCTTCAACTCTTCTGGGAAGGCTGTCCACAAGGTTTAGGAGTGTGTTTATGGGAATTTTTGACCATTCTTCCAGAAGCGCATTTGTGAGGTCGCACACTGATGTTGGACGAGAAGGCCTGGCTCTCAGTCTCCGCTCTAATTCATCCCAAAGGTGTTCTATCGGGTTGAGGTCAGGACTCTGTGCAGGCCAGTCAAGTTCATCCACACCAGACTCTGTCATCCATGTCTTTATGGACCTTGCTTTGTGCACTGGTGCACAGTCATGTTGGAAGAGGAAGGGGCCAGCTCCAAACTGTTCCCACAAAGTTGGGAGCATGGAATTGTCCAAAATGTCTTGGTATGCTGAAGCATTCAGAGTTCCTTTCACTGGAACTAAGGGGCCAAGCCCAGCTCCTGAAAAACAACCTCACACCATAATCCCCCCTCCACCAAACTTTACACTTGGCACAATGCAGTCAGACAAGTACCGTTCTCCTGGCAACCGCCAAACCCAGACCCGTCCATCAGATTGCCAGATGGAGAAGCGCGATTCGTCACTCCAGAGAACGCGTCTCCACTGCTCTAGAGTCCAGTGGCGGCGTGCTTTACACCACCGCATCCGACGCTTTGCATTGCACTTGGTGATGTATGGCTTGGATGCAGCTGCTCGACCATGGAAACCCATTCCATGAAGCTCTCTGCGCACTGTTCTTGAGCTAATCTGAAGGCCACATGAAGTTTGGAGGTCTGTAGTGATTGACTCTGCAGAAAGTTGGCGACCTCTTCGCACTATGCGCGTCAGCATCCGCTGACCCCGCTCCGTCAGTTTACGTGGCCTACCTCTTCGTGGCTGAGTTGCTGTCGTTCCCAAACACTTCCATTTTCTTATAATACAGCTGACAGTTGACTGTGGAATATTTAGGAGCGAGGAAATTTCACGACTGGATTTGTTGCACAGGTGGCATCCTATCACAGTTCCACGCTGGAATTCACTGAGCTCCTGAGAGCGACCCATTCTTTCACAAATGTTTGTAAAAACAGTCTGCATGCCTAGGTGCTTGAATTTATACACCTGTGGCCATGGAAGTGATTGGAACACCTGATTCCAATAATTTGGATGGGTGAGCAAATACTTTTGGCAATATAGTGTATATATATTTATATATATAAAAATGTTTGTATATCTGGATTATGTAACAAAAGTAATTTCCCTCAGGGATTATTAAAGTATGTCTGATTCTGATTTTTATTTTGATTCTGATATTCATCTAACAATTTAACTAGTATGAGGCTTAACCTTAATTCACACCTTAGACATAACTATTTTTAAAAATCCTTCCATTAAGACTAGCCTATGCGGCTTAAAAAGAGTATTGGTCGTGACACGGTTTGTGTATACCACAAAAAAAGGTATGAAAAGAAAATATACTGTAAACAAGAACAGATGCAGACAAAAAAAATGTTCAGAAGGACAGCAAATTAGATGAAAAGCTTATCGAAGGTAACAAACAGTGATAATGAAGAAAGATTTTGGAGGAAGCAGTTAAAAGGGGTGAAAGAAACTTACGGAGATTAGAGACTTCAGCTCCAACACCCTCTTCTCACTTGCGTATGACTTTAAAACTCATGAACGTTGCCTAAAAAAAACAGAGAAAAATGGTCTTTAATGCAAATATCATCAGAATGTTGGCTCTTTGTCACAACCACCATCATTTAAACTTCATTTTCACCCAAACAATAAAAAAACAAATTCCATAAGCTTTCTAATAAACATTGGGTATTTATCATCCTAACATACAAACTGAGCTCTGGCAAAATCTGAAAACTCAAAATGGAAACTCTTAGCCCACCTGAGAGGCCTGTGCAGCCAGTGTTTAAGGGCGAACAGAGGTCCACTGTGAAGTTCACAGCACAGCAAACAGAAGATCAGTGTATTTCCTTCATAGCGCTTTCATTGCACAAACGGCATCACATACTCGTATACCATGCAAGGTCCAACAAACAACATTTGGTTCGCCGCTTTGAAGTTTGAAAAATTGGCAGCAATCCTTCTTGATGCAGTAAGTGATATTTACTTTTAAAAAACGGACTCCAGTGAAAGCAAGTTAAAAATGCCTCTCATCATATGGACAGTGGTCCAGCCTGAACAAACCTCTCTGACTCGGAGGCCTGACCTGGGGTCGCCCTTAATTGGCCCTCGCACGCTCACATGCGCACGCTGCAAGGAGGCATTTCTAAAAGAAGGAGGTCACAGAAAACAAATAATAACATCAAAGGGGTCAAACTGCCAACAAAGCCCTTTGAAGGCACTGCGACCTGGAACGGACTGCCGCCGTGGGGAGAGGGCCCCAAATTAAGAAAGGATGGGAGATGGGTCTTAATTAATAGTGGGAGGTAAGTAATACCATGAACAGAGAGGCATACCAGATAGAGAGAACTCCAAAGAAGAGACTTCCTCTACAAATAAGCAATTCATGCTGCAGAAGCATTGAGCATCATGACGGCCCATGTCACAGCATCTAAATGTACCAAAAACGGCAAAACAAACACGCCTTTGATTCCACAATTTGAGGCTAATTGAGAACAACGAAGAAAAAAAGGCTAACTGTGGGCATGTATGATCTTTTATTCATGTCCATAATCAACCAAATGATTTTCTCTTGGATGTATTTCTTTCTCTCAGGGCACCATTAAGTGCTTACACAGAGGCGCTGATAATAATGATAAACCATCTGCAAAAACATACTGTAACAAATACGAGTCTACAAACAAACATAAGTTGTGCCTCCTTTTTTTTTAAACAACTCAAAAAAAGTCCACTTCTCGCGCTCAGCCGAGGTGGAGACAGATCTTAGTTCCCACTCTGTATCTCTCACTGACCCGTCTGAACACGTTTCACCGAACCAGTTCTTCCGTTTCCCCTCCATTTCACACCCTGCCGCTCTTCTGTAGATGACAGGTCCGACACTGGGGGATGCTGGGTAATCAGAGAGAGACAGCTGGTTGTCTGAAAGTGGAGGGGTGCCTTGAAACATGCGTATTCAGATTAATCAGAATCCCTGTCCGTCTGTGTCATCAATGCTAATAAGAAAAGAAGATGTCAGCAGCGGCGTTACAGAAGCAATAGCTGCTAGCTTTCATAATTGGATGGGTATAGAGTAAGTTAACTGTCCATCAAAACACCTTAAACGGAGGGGGTGGACAAAAACACAGCGATTTAGTTAATTCCTTCCCACTATCATAATCCTCATAGCCATGCAGGGAACCAAGATATCTTGCCTGATCAGCCAGGCCAACAATGCCCCTAACGACCCCCTTCTCAGAATCATAGACCAGTATCGGATAACAAAGACCTCAACCGACTCCCCATTCCTAAGGGGCAGACCTGTTCTTCAGGTTCAATTTGCATGTTTTCTAAGCCAAAACAAGAGCTACTATATAAAGCTTGGAAATCAATGCTAATTCTGACATTTTGCATTGAAAAAGCTTCCAGGATGGGAAACGAAAACTATTCAAACTTGGACAACAAAGTCCAGTGGTTTGTTTTTTAGCTTTTTTGGAAAACGTCTGGATTAATAAATGTTATATGTCTGTAACCTGAATAAATCTATGTTATATTTGTTCCTTTTTGTCAACTCATATGTACATGTTAAAGCAGATGTTTCATCTGTGAGAGAGTTCTGGGATCTCAGGTAACAAATTTTTCGCTACAGTCCAAGTAGAAATCACAAACGAGAACATATCACAGTTTTATAGTAGCCTAGTAAACTAGCCCCACCCTGCCAGCGGCCAAAATTATTTTTGCCTGTGAGTTGGTCTAGCCTCAATGCCCCAGGCCCTAGAACTGGGGGGCCAATCGCAACGCAGAGATGTCTTTTTAATTTTTGGATGCAAAGCGGGCGGGGTTTTGAGTAGGTGACGACAAAGCTGTGCTGGAGAAAGCACAAGGAAGGTGAAACTATTGAACAGTTCTGGTTTGACTCAGCTTTGTAATCATTTATGGAAGGATTAGACTTGGGGTTTTCATGGAAACGTGAGCAAGAAGAGGCTCTACACTCATTCATTTTTAAGGACGTATTCGACGTATTTGTTTACACTCACAGTCAGTTGTGCTCGTTGGTCAGAGCGTCGGTCAATAGGCATGATTTAAAAGACAACAGGTTGTTCTTATCAACAATCTTCATCATTAATCGGGGCCAGACTAAATTACACATTTAATCTCACATTTATTTTGGGTTATCAGGCTAGTTTTATGGGTAAAAGTGTCCAATTTACAAGTATGAATCTACAACCCCTTATGAAGCTGTTACACTCCTTACCAACAAACAGCCAACCTTACATTGAATTTCAAACTGCACATAAGTTGAAAAGATGCGTGACTGCCACCAACTGGTAAGGAGGGTAACAGCTTCATCTGGTTATACATTTTTATTTTTACTCACAAATATGAGATGTTGTTTTTTTTTTGTAAATTTGTGATTTGTACTTGTATTGCTGCAAAGTTTTAACTTTGTCAGAGAGCTTGGAGAGCGCAGATAATGGTAATTGGTAATTGTGAATTACATCTCATTTAAATTAATTGTTCCTTGGCATGAGTCGCACCTCTGATAAACAAATGTCCATAAAATCTATTCATAAATTTTCAATTGATCCTGCTAATAAACCAACAACGTTCCCTTTTCTGGTGTTTTTGTCTTCAATAAAATACTTCTGGTCTTTTTGAGTCCGATGCTATGTCTGTCAATAGTCACTGCTGCCACCCTCTGGTTTAGGGCGGAACTACTTGTTCCGACAAACGTCCCTATCTCACAATTTTAGAGAATCTTTAAAAAAATTCCTGTATCTAGGTTATGATCTGGATCATCACCAAAATGTAATGAATTGTTCCCTGGAATGAGGGACACCTCTGATATTAATATCCTTTACAAACACAGACAAACTCCTAAAAACATAATCTCCTTAGTGGAGGTAATACAGTTCATATAATGGAAGTCTGTCCTCTGGCCTCTGGCCTCTGGACATAAAAGTAGTGAAGTGTTAAGATTTCTCCCTTAACATTAGAGACAAATCAGGTCCTACAGATACAACTCTTCATACATCACTTTTTATGATGTTATGACATTTAAAACCCTTGAATGGTAAGGGGGTGTACTTATTTGTATGATGTTTAATAAGAACCAGGCAATGGAGCCATTCAAAGCTGCTCAAGACAACTGGGCCAAGCAGCTACCTCTTTGGCCCGCAGTCAAACAGCTGTAAAACGGTACATGGTTTGTATCAAGGGGGCCATCTGGACTAGTTTAAAACCTTTAAAAGTAAAATTGTTGTGTTTTTGTTTTGATATGACACCTTAACATTGCAGGTGCAGGTGAAGTGAAGGTAAACTGCTGTTTGTTCACAGCAGGGTCTGCATCCGGACAATAAATTCACACACTGAAATAACCAAATATGCATAGTCCCAAATGTCATCCTGTTGCAGCTGTCAGTGCCACTTGTGCAGATGGAGACACTCAGGGGGTAAGAACAATGGAAGTCTATTAGGAGGAGGCTATCTCAATAAGCATAGCACAGCATGAGGCTCATTGCTGCCACTTCCAATGTCCCCAATAATCATATGGGCAATTAAACTAAAATGAGATTCCCTTGACCCATAAATGATGAGCTTATATTATGTGCTGATTCTCAGAGGGCCACTGGTCATGAGGTATTCCCGAATATGATTATCAAGATTCTCATTCTCTCTCTAAAGGAGCTTGGTTACACATTTTAAAACATTAATTTATCCTTTATTGCTCAGGCTTCTGGTTTTTCTGACTTTTTTGCCAAACTTTGTATCCTGCCTACTTACTTCACACAAAAAATATGATTTTTGAAAACTATTTCAGTTGCATTACAATACTTGCTTGTTTTATATTTTTTTGTTTATGTTTAATTGTTGAAGAGTAATATCCAAAATACCAAGAGAATATTATATACTGATGGAGATTAATGATATAAAGCATTACTACTCCTCCCAATAGATTACTTTAGGCCATAAAATATGATTGTGGCACCTGTTGAAGACCTATTTTATTGATGCTGCTGGAAAAAAAATCCGAATATGAACCAAAGAGGCAGAGTTCTGATAATGCAGCATCAGAGACAGGACCAGAAGCACACACCCATCCCAGATGGATTCCTGGGATCAATGCAATGAAAAGTAAACCTTTAAAAGCAATAATTCCAAAATTGCAATTTCTATGATGATTTTACAGGAAAGCAAAGCTGTAATATTGTATTTAGGACACTAGAGGGTGTGCAGCAGTTCCTGTACGAGTTGTTACCTAAAACCAGACACAGGGTGTGACTGGTTTGTTTTATCTCAATTTAATTTCCGTGAAATTGGATTAGTACATTTAATACATTTGTTTAAGTTTATCTCACAACCCCATTTTTACAAACATAACTAGCTGCAGCTAGGAAGAAAACACTATTCCCTCTAGGGGCGGGTTTCCCTAAAAAGTAGCCAATCACGGGCAGTTTACTTTCTCAGGTTGGTTCCACCCTCAGTGGGACAAAAGTTGACATGAGCCACATAAACAGGTCCGCTTCCCAAAAGAGGTGGTAGATGCCATCAGGTCTTTATTGCCGTGTCCGA